TTAGATTCGTAATTTTGTTTGGCTGAGGGCTAACCGAGAGACCTAACTSTGAGGAAATTTGTGAGGGACATATCTGCAAATTTGKGAAAATATAGCCCTAACGCTAACTGAATTTCCTACTACTACCCTAACTGCGAATAGCAGGCCCGGGCTACCCCTAGGACAGACAGGCCCTAAGTGGCCTATACTGATAGACTGTCCTATAGCCTATAGCCGGGTCCGGTAGAGGCCGAGAGGCCGAAACAGCARCGGTACCGGTCGGTCAGTCAKTCCGGTCTAGGTCTAGTGTAGTCTATAGMTAGGTTAGGCCCATCGGTTCAGGRCTTTTGGCAGTTCTCGCGAAGCASTGTTGGAGAAGCAAGCAAGTTGGTAGCGGTGACTGTCTGCAGGCGGCATCCTGAGACCTCGCCGTTGACAGTAGCCATAGCCGGCCCAGTCTGAGTCTGYCATAGCTGGGGCATCCTCAGCGCATCTACCCCTGGGGGTATCCGCGTCTRGYCGGRCTRCATCKAGGCTCTACACTGTGTGTTCGTGRGTGGTGGCAGCCATAGCTGCCTGTTCCTTCGTCASAGTTGTCCATYKGCACTGAAGACTTCATCGCAGGACCTGTTCTTCATCAGGGTGGTTGGCGCTGGCCTCTTGGAGGCCATTCTGATGTGGCGCTATTAACTGGGTGTAGGATAGAGAGTGGGGTGTGAGTTCTGAGAGTGGCGAGATACTGGAACAAACTCTGTTACGATAATTGTTTGAGTTGGCTCATCATCAGTGTAATTTCAATTGTTATCCTCGCCGGTTCTTCTTGTGATTGGTTGTTGGGAGTGTGTCAGAGAGAGAGAAACATTGTGTGTCTTCTCCCCATCTGTGCATAGCTGTATTCCGCTGCCTACTCTAATCTGTGTGCAGTGTGGACTCTGTCTCCTCTCCCCCTTCTCTTATGCATGTATGGGCGTGTATGAGATTGTCTGTGTGTGAGTGGCGGTAAAAATCATCAGATAACCAAGTTCATAACATATACATATATATGTTTTTTTTTATAATGGCCATACGTTCTATTTGGGGGAAAGACAGTCGCTACGTTCTGCTCCTTCTTCAGCCCATGGACTGAAATGCCTTGGGTCCAAGGTTGGGGGGGCCCAAGGCATTTCTTTTTGACCCCAAGTTGGGCGGGCCCAAGACATTTCTTTTTGGGCCCAACTTGGGGGGGCCCAAGGCATTTCTTTTTGGGCCCAACTTGGGATTAAATAAAAAAATCGGTCGTGGGTTGCTTGAATCGTTCACCCGTCTTGGTTTAAAGTTTAAACCACCAGTACTCGGCCCAGCTATCGGCCGCGGAAAAAAAAAAAAAGCTAGAGTAGAAACGTTTCTAGTCGGATGAATTTGGTGGGCGCTCCTGTAGTGTTCCGTACATTTCCTTAAAAAATAGTGGCTTGTATACGGGCACGGCTTTAGGAAGTACTGGTGGTTTTAAGCAAATGTGTCGCACTTTTGTGCATACTGCAACCGTACGAGAGTGGGGTGGATATCCAAAGAGATGTATGGTTCCATTTTCGAATACTACCGTCTTCACCCGAATAGAACGCCCGGTCATTATAGTTGTATTTGGCACAACTTTTGGTCCAGATGCAGCGATGATGACCAGGGTGTTCTATTCGGCTGAAGACGGTAGGCAGCGATGATGACCAGTGCGTTCTATTCGGCTGAAGAGGTGTCTGGCTGTCTAGCCCGAGATCGCCAGTTCGATTCCTTGCACGGACATCCCAACAGCGTGGTAATATACCCAATGCTTCACACGGTAATTGGGCGGAAAATAGTACTCGGACTTGGTGGCCACGAGCAGGGCTAGCGCTCCGCAACAGGGTCTTGGAGAACGCCGTGTGGGGAGAGTGTGTTTGCACACTCGACACTGGAGGGGTGGGCAGATATCAGCATCCTTATGGGTTACGGGTGTGTTTTTTATGGCCACGGGCGCAGTGGTTAAGGCGTCTGACTGTTTGGCACAAGATCGTCGGTTCGATTCCTTGCCGAGTCATTCCAACAGCATGGGTAATATACCCAATGCTTAGCAACATGCTGTTTATGCTGAAGTATCTTTGCCGAATCACACAAAACAATGCAAATGGACTTGGAGCTCTGCGCTTTGTAAAATCCGCCATTTTTTCCTTGTTTTTTTCTTTTGTCTATAACATGGTTGCCCCGAACCCGGACACCCGGCCCGGACCTGTGTCTGGATTAATCCGGATGACCGGTAATCTGGACACCGATCCGGACAACCGGACATATGGACCAGGACGGTCCGGTTATGAATGAACAGGTCCGGATGTCCGGAAATTACTTATTAATTAAAAAAAAAAAACTAGGAAGATTCTCACGCCCGGCCGGTCCTGCCCGGCCGGGCACCCGGGCGTGACGTCCGGGGTACCCAGG